TATTTAATACTTTTATGTATATATATATATATACATATATATCTATATTTGACTATCCAGAAGGTTTATTCCCCCCAAAATGAAGGAAAAGGGAACAGACAAAACGGGCACAAGCTGCCAGGTCTGAAAAAGCAAAGAAATGAACTAAGTGATTGAACATCCTCATCCTAGTGGAGAGGTTTGAGTTGTAAACCGTGTAACAATGAGTTATTACATTTCAAAAATGAGTGCCTTGCATGTATAAAAATGGGTAAGAAGTTAAAATGAGATGAGAATAATTCAGTTACAGTCAAGTGTATCAGAGTTGGAAATGAGCTGAGCACTGTGTGTGCGTGTGGGGGACTATAACAGAGGACAGGGAAAGGGAAGAATGAATTCTTGTAGCAATTTACATGACAAATACGTGCTGATTAGGACATTAGATGAAGCTGTTGCGTTCTTTCCCATGAGATACCACCAGCACAAAGGACTTATCAGCATATATGTGTCAAAAGGAGAATAAAGAGGTGGAAATGCTCTTCTCTCTGCTTATCTCCCATGGCCGGTCTGTGAGGGGGGTGATAAAAGGCAGATCTCTTACAGCAGGAACTGGAGGTTGTCGTAATTAATGCGACCAGCAGCTTCCTTCTGAGACCACGTGGAGAAGGACCTGAGAGTCCGGGCCAGGCTGCGGGTCGTGGCCACTTGGTCCGACCCGATCCACATCTCCACGGCACTGATGATGATGCGCAGCCTCATGCGCTTGTAAACCTGGAGGAGAGCAAGAGCTGGCCAGGCTGAGAGAGCTGGGCTGGGGCAGCTGGAGAAGAGAAGGCTCCTGAAGGGGACACCTTAGAGCAGCTCCAGGGCCTAAAGGGGCTCCAGGAAACCTGGAGAGGGGCTTTGGACAAGGGATGTAGGGACAGGCCAAGGGGAATGGCTTGAACCTGCCAGAGGGGAGATTGAGATGAGCTCTGAGGCAGAAGCTCTTCCCTGTGAGGGTGCTGAGGCGCTGACACAGGGTGACCAGAGGAGCTGTGGCTGCCCCATCCCTGGCAGTGTTCAAGGCCAGGTTGGACACAGGGGCTTGGAGCAACCTGCTCTAGTGGAAGGTGTCCCTGCCCGGGGCAGGGGTTGGAGCTGGAGGAGCTTTAAGGTCCCTTCATCCCAAACCAGTCTGGGATTCCATGGTTCTATCTCAAAGCAGACTCAGGCAGGGAGAACCAAGGGTTTCACAGAATCACGGAATCAACCAGGTGGGAAAAGCCCTTTCAGCTCATCCAGTCCAACCATTCCCAGCCCTGCCAAGGCCACCACTAACCCATGGCACTGAGGCCTCGGCTCCACGGGCTGTGAACACTTGCAGGGACGGTGCCTCCAGCCCTGCCCTGGGCAGCCTGTTCCAATGCCTGAGCACCCTCTGGGCAAGGAATTGTTCCTCAGCTCCAGCTAAACCTGCCCTGGGGCAGCCTGAGGCCGGTTCCTCTTGTGCCATCCCTTGTTCCTTGGGAGCAGAGACCAGCCCCCTCCTGGCTCCATCCTCCTGTCAGGCAGTCATAGGGAGAATCCCTCATTTGTTTCCCACTGCCAATGGAGCATTGACTGTATTTAAGCACATCATTAAAACTCACCGTGTTCAGGATGTTGCTTATGGAAACAAACATGTGGAGCATCAGGGTTTCATTCTTCTTCTTAACTTTAAACTGAAAGGGGAGAAGAGGCTGCGTTCCAGGGCTGGACACCAAGGACTGCCTGCAGCAGAACCCCATGCTCTAAGTCCTCATGCTTACCAGCTCTTTGTTAGTGATCAGAGCCAGCTCCAAGTATCTTGCGGGCACAGACACCGGCTTGAGACCACCAACCTCCTGCAAGAGAACAAATGTGGTTGTTGAGGTAGGTTCAGGAGCTTGAAAGCTCCCACCTCATTGCAGAGAACCAAAGAGGCATCACTCAGACTGATCCAGACTTTCCCTTTAGTACAAGAACATGGAGCAGTTGCTCATTAGAAAAGGTTTGATGAGTGTAACGTGTACTTGGGGTGAGTGCAGAGAGATTCAGAGACAGAACAAGGCTGTAGGTGGGGGTTTCTTGGTGACAGGGGATTACCTGGCATTGCTCATGTCAAATCAGCTCACTGCAAGGATTCAGACCACTTTGCAATCCTTAAGCAACTGCAGTTGGGTAATGGGTAACCTGGGGGGTTGTTCCTCTCCTCCGAGCATTGTATTGCTCCATGACAACATTATCCCATCTCTGATGGGGTGAGCAGACAGTGAGACACTGAGAACATTCAAAATCAGCAGATTTGGTCAAATAACGAGGAGGAAAAGGAGCGGACCCTGCACAAGCCTTGGTGGCAGCTTTGGCACTGGCTGGGATGGGAATGGGGAGGACAACTCTTGAGTAATTCCAAGGAGTTTTCGTGGTAGAAGAGAGGAGGAGGAGTTGCTGCCTCTCAGAGAGACAACTCTAACTGCTTTGGCTGCTGCAGAAGCGTGCATGGCTAAATAAGTGCTGTTGCTCCAGTCATTGTAAGCATGGGGCCTGATGGCTCTTCCCTGGTGAACAAACACCACTTTATTATTATTAC